TGGCTATCAGTGTATATATTGATGTAATACTGTGATAGGTATCGTTCTGCATAATGAATTGTTTCATATTTGAGACTTAAAGTACACTTCAGTCTTAATACTCTGTTACGTGTAACAGTATTTTTGCATTAACATTTTAAGGAAGTATAGAGTGTGACTACTTTTCCCACCACTGCTCTTCTATATGTGGACAAAATTATGACTCACTAACTAGTTTGAACCGCCACAACAGGATATACTGCAGCCAGGTATGTAAATGAGTTGTGGAAAGTAACTAAGGACATTTACTCAAGTCACCTAATGTAAACACTGAGGGACTTCACTGTTTACATTTCTACTGTACTATACGTCTACTCCACTTGACTCTGGACAGAAATGTTGTACTTTTTACTACATTTCTAGCCATTTATTTGACAGGTGTAGTACTTCGCAGGTTAAGATTATACAATCAAAATAAATGTTGATCTTTTAAATTATGGATCATAATAGATAGAATTTATTTTCATGTTAAAAACGGATAAGAATCCTCTGATACGATTTACAAATAACCCTCAAATTAAGTTGTCATGTGTGATTAGTATTTGTATTTTTGAGACACGTATATTTTGTTTATAACATTTGGTTTTACCACGTTTATAAAAGGGTCTGAACACTTCCTCCACCACTGTGATTGATAAAAGTTTAAAACTTTATCATATTAAGAATTATTTAATAGACAAATATATAGATGTACAATCAAAACCAAATAGACATTCAGATGTTGAATGACACAGGGTCATAACCATCTGTAAGAACAACAGTGAAATTGTTCTGTTGGTTTTGAACACCTTTTCTTTGACTTGATCCTGGATTGTATGTGTTGCATTACAAAGTAAATATGGGACTCTCTGTTTTGGTTCAGGAAAAGCCACTTTGACAGTATTGACAGTATTTGCGATGCTACCTGTTTAGTTTGTTGACAAAGTGCTCTATTTGGGAGAGAGCCAGAGATGATATCGACGTAGATGTCGAAACTTAAACATGTTTTAAGTGTTTTTTTCTGCCAATTTTGTCGCCATAGGGGCATGAACTGTTGCATCAAGCTTTGTGTTACAGACAGTGGTGGAGGAAGGTAAAGAGACTAATACAACAATGTAAAAATATTGAAATAGTCACTGCATTCAAATCCTACTTAAGTAAAAGTACAGGAGCCTGTACTCACAGGCTTGTGTGTCCCCTGTGAGTGTCATATAGTTCTACACAGTAATTTTGCTGCTGGTTGAAGAGTCTTGTCAAACTAATGTATCCAGAGTTTGGTATTTAAGTCCAGTTTTCTGAGATAAATCTGAAGAGTTGTGAGATTATTATTTGGGTAGAAACAAACAAAAGAATCTGCAGCACAAATCTGTAATTTTATATAGTCTTTACTTTTCTTTTGTTGCTAAAACTGGTTAATTTTATCTCTTTGGGCTTTTGAACAGTTAGTCAATGAACTGCTGACAACTCAGAGACCTCTGAAATGTGCAAAGGGACCCCAATGTGATACTTCCTTTTTGTAACTAGTAACTCAGGTTCTCAAGTGCTATATCGTAGACAACTGGACTTGCGTGAGTTTCTTGAAGATGTTTCACCTCTATGCCACCATCCAAGAGGTTTCTTCAGTTCTGGGTAAAGTCAGGTAATTTGCAACACTTTATGGATTACCAAAAAACAAAACACCTAAGATTTTAAAGACTACCTTCACTACTTGTTTTTTAAAGGTTAAATCCATTAATCACTTCTGTCATTAAATTATTAAATCATTAATGTAACCTAACGATTCATTAAAAATTATTGTGCAACTTTTCTGCCATGCTTTCCCTGTTCTTTTATTGTCTGTTTCCTTGGTGCCATATCGTCTACAATGGACGTGTGTGTGTGTGTGTGTGTGTGTGTGTGTGTGTGTGTGTGTGTGTGTGTGTGTGTGTGTAACACTGATGGCTAACTCTGGATTACTGTGGCTGACATGGACTCACTGCATCATCTTTACTGTTTGTTAAGTGACAAAAATATGATGTGACAGGATGGCACACAATAGTATGACAGCTCATGATGTTATGGCATCTGATAACTCAGAAACTTGTTGGTTTCACTTCAGAAAAATGTTCAGTTTTAGCATAATTTTTTTTTATTGTTTTGGTTGCAGTAAACTTACTACCAAAAAGAGAAAATCAACATGCCACGTGGTTTATCTTGCAAGTAGCAAGTTGTTTTATCTAAGGGCCATTTGTAGCAATGTTGTAATAACATGTTTGGTGACTAGCTGTTCATATTTACAGAGCCCAATATGTAAAACCTTATTTGTCCCATTTAACCTGATGTCTCAGTTTACCTGATATCACATTACAGTTTACAGACATACGCAATGGAGGAAAGAGTAAAAAATGTTCTCTCTGAAGTGTTGTGAAAAAGACAGACATATAAAGACGCATAAGATAAATACAACCAAGAAAAGTAGAAGTACCTTTAAATAGTAGGCTATTTAACTACAGTACTTGAGTAAATGTAGTCTTCTCTGCTTACAGAATCTGATTCAGAATTAAGCCGATTGCCAAGTAAGTTTTTATTCACAAGGAATTTGCCTTGGTGTTTGGTGCATATAAACATACACTGTAAAAATACATAAGGTGGCACAACTTAAACATGTTTGGTAACAAGTTGCACAGTTTTTTGAGTTTATTCAGCTTTTAGAACAGTTGCTGCCAAGTCTAATATTTTATATGGCCAATTAGTTGACACAATGTTGAGTTACAATTAAATTTCATGTCATAACATAAGGCTTTTTACATTCATATAGTACATAATGTAACTTGCAACTGCAACAGAATCAAGATAGAAAGAAAAAGGAGACAAAAAAACACAATCTGACAAAAATGCTCCTCCTGTGTCAGTAAATGGTAGTCCATACAAAATGAAGTATAGTAAACAAATTAAATACAAAATACAAAATGTACTCGTATTTGTAAGAAAAGAAGAAAATAGATAATATTCATTCACCTGATCATCTGATAGGCAGAACTTTTTTCTAATTCAAAAATGTACTTTACTTCTCTCAGGGCAAGTTGGCCCAACTCTACAAGTTGATATATTACATTATTAAAACCCATCACTGTTGTTGGGTGAAGGAATTATTTCTCTGTCAGGTCAGGTTGACCCAACTTTTCTTCTAGTCGAAACATGATGTTAGATCAACCCTTTGCAGCTGTTAGCTTTTGTCATTGCTTTTCTCTAAGAGCAAGTTGGCCTAACAAAATACACAGCTGTCACCTCAATAACTAAATACACAAGCATCTCGTTTCCAAAACTGTTAAAGCACAAGGCTTCAGCATCTTCACATCAAATTCAAGGACTCCTCACAGACTTCCCATATCCAATTCCTGCAAATTCAAGGTCCTAGTACAGCATGGTTTGAGACATTGATCTAAAATTAGGAGCACTAACACCCAATGATGAATTTAAAGCCATCATAAAGAATGTGGTGACAGAGACATGTGCGTGTTTTCATTGAGAGGCCACTATGTTTGAATAGTTGTTGCTTTATTGTGGATTTTCGTAGACAGATATTTGAATATTTTTGGAGCTGAACTAGTGAAACTGTTGCAGTGAGCAGTAAAGATCAACAGAAACACTCGGGGTGAGCACACACACACACACACACACACACACACACACACACACACACACACACTGTGGATGTGCAGCTCTCTGACAGGAGATGGGCGTTGCCCGTCCAGCCAAATGTCAGTTGCCTTCGCCGACACGCCTCCGATAGGAAGACTCCCTCTCAAGCAAACTTGGGAAGTTAACCATCCATGAAAGTCCCGCCTTAAACGCCCACCAGCTCCGTTTTCATTGGCTCTGTCGCTGTCAATCAATCATATCCCAAGCTACGTCAGCAGCGCCGCCACACCGGGGCTGAGGAGTGGGTGACGAAGAGCAATCACCACCAGGAAAAAACACCAGGAGCGATAAAATGCACGGACTACAGGGGTGCATTTGACTGTCAGTTAGGCGTTTTGGCGTTTTGTGGATTTGGTGCTGGCGAGGTCTTTTGGAGAACACTAGCTGAACACAATGAAGGTCCTCTGTCAGGCCGAGGTTTCTGGTTTTTAGCCAGTTGGCTGCAATTCCAGGGATGGCTAGCTGAGCTAACCTAGCTAGCTAACAATTAGCCTGCCCATTTAGCTACACTGGTCACTGGGTGCCTCAGTCTGCAACAGGATAACGGCTCCGAGCGCTATTGTGAGGCGATATTTCCAGACCAACGGCTACAACGGTTACCGTCCGTCGAGTTGTCGAGACAGCGGGTTGGCCTGTGTGTGTGTTCAGTAGATGGACAGTTTGACGGGCGCTCATTGTCACTGCGCGGGCGTACAGTGTTCGTTTCGGGGCGGCTAGCCTTGTACTCGGCCGGGCGACCAGCAGAGGGATTGTACAAATGTGGCAGCCAGCGGTGTCCCACTGTCTCTGGGACCCAACTCGGTAGCTTGAAGTAAAAATATTGATTTTTTTTTTAACGAGTGTTAACCAACTAACCAGTGTTGGCACATTGAAAATCACCAACTTGTCAACGTTAGCTTGGTTATAACGTTAGCAGCGTTTAGCTTACAAGCTAGTTAACGTCACCCAAACTAGTTTCAGCTCTTTCTGGACGGTGCATCAAATAAAATGGTTATTCACATGTACGCTAGTGGTGGAAGGTGTTTGGGGACATGTTGCATTGTAAATTTTCTGTGATCCGCGGTCAGTCTTTGTAGCCTGAGGATTTACACGAGACTTTGACTAAGCTGTCAGATATTTGACACTTGACAGCAGTTTTACCACCGACAAGGAAGGCCAGACTCTGCAGCCAGCAGCAGCCTCTCAGGCTCCATTATCAGGATTTAACTTGTTGCAGACGGACTGTTGCTCATTTATTTGATACTTTGTGTGAGGTGTAGCCCGGCGCCCCTTGTCAGACGGGCTTTTCAGCTCATGCGGTGATGACTTTAGACTCCATGATGGCTTGTTGCCTGAGTGAAGAGGCGAAGGAGTCCAAGCGGATCAACGCTGAGATCGAGAAACAACTCCGGCGAGACAAGAGGGATGCAAGACGGGAGCTGAAGCTGCTTCTGCTGGGTGAGCCTGCATGATCTCTGTCTCACATTGGCACGGCTGGACACTTGCACTCAATCTCTACCTCTGACACACACACACACACAGCTGCACTAAGCTGTTGATTTGATTGTGCTGTAAAAGGTTTTGCATGCAAAACGCTGCACACACAGTTGCACAAACCACATTACCCCCTCTCACCACAGGATTTGTATGTGAGGTGTTATGCAAATCAAAAATGCAGATGTGGTTTTAAAGGTGTTTCCAGTCTAGCGGGAGCTGTAGTGTAGAGTTGAGAGCAGCCAGTGACCCAGGGAGCTTATTAATATACATATATACATATACATATACATATATACAAATACATATACATATATACATATACATATATATTTGTACAACAGGGTGTCTTACTTAAAGGGGAACACCACCCAAATAATGAACACAAGTTTGTTATTATCATGGCTTAAAAATTTAAATCAATATTTGTAAGCATAGTTCCACTCTCTCAAGGCCAGAAACCAGAGAAGTAAATGTCAAACTTATGATGTCATAGGACAAAAGTGTGGAGCTGCTTCATTGATGATGCATAGGAGACTGATTTTATGGACCCACACAAGATTATTTTTTGATTTTTGCCTTTATTGGACAGGACAGGTTAAGTGTGCAGGGTGATGACATGCAGCAAAGAGCTGCCAGCTGGAATTGAACCCACAGCTGCTGCAGCAAGAACCTGCTCTACCCACTGAGCTACTGGGCAGCCTTTTTTCTTTTTTTTTTTTTTTTTTTTTAAATAAGACCTGAATGAGCTTTATTCTACTGTAGCGTTCTCCATTATGAAACAGAAAATGTACCCAACATTCCCCTGGGTACTTGCAGTGTCATCAATAACATCTCTCCCAATTCATTGTCTGTGGAGCCGCTACACACCTGACACCCTATGACATCACAAATTTGAGTTTTAACACTTTAGTGTTTGGATTTGGGAGATAATTATTCATTTTTACTGATAGACTTGGACCGTCTTAGACCATAAGAATTACATGTATCAGTTTTGACAATGGGCGTAGTTCCCATTGAAATTCAATGTCACAAATTTTAGGCCTTAAAAGTCATTAGTCTTAAATTCACATTTGTGAGGTCTTAAATGCCACAAACATTTATCTAATTTTAATCATCAATCTTTTAAATACTTTTTCCATAATGAGTCAATCTCTTCAGCATGAAAGTCCACATTTTTTAGATGTTTAAAGTCTTTAAACATTCCACTGAACCCAATACTGTCTTTTTACTTTAAACTTGCACTTACCTGTTGGCAGGGTTTAAATTGACCTTTTTGTCCACCTGCCAACTGTGGTTGGTGGATTCCCAAATCTACCAGCCACTCAATAGATTACCATTGGTTTTTTTGGATTGTAAATGAAGCAAATCTAGCTGCTACTTGCATACTTTTCTAGCATTTGGCTAGTGGCTGGTGCCGAACTCACTCTAATAGCCATATTCCTATAGCATATATGCCACCTACTCCTATGCTTACCTGCAGTGCCTGAATAAGAAAAAGATTTGTCCAAAATCAGTCTTATATTTGGTTAAACGTATCTTGAAAAGGTCTTTCAAAAGCATTAAATTTAAGTGTCACCCATAGACACCCTGTATACATACATTCTGTGTGTGTTTGTTGCTCTGTTGCTAATAATTATATCACAGTTTGTGTCTCAGTCCTCTTGTTTCTCTTTTACCTCCAAAGCGAAAGTAAAAACCCCCTTGATGGACTGCCAGGGTGATGACAAGCTTATAAACAGGACATGTTAAAGACCACTCACGAGATAACAGAGGCAGGAGATTGTCTCTACTTCCTGATGACTCTTAACTAACATGTAGCTGTGCTGGACGTCAAGTCAGCCTTTCAGTCTAGTTGTGTGATGGTTATTCAGGCTTCATTTTGGGTATTGTGTGCCTTTCCTACAACTCACAGAACACACTACTGCATTAGAAAATTGTTTTTTTAGTTTTATGTGTTTGGTAGTGGTCCTAACTTATTCTGAATTACATAGATTATCAAGCATGAGTTCAGTTGAGTGAAGCCTCTCGAAACCAGCTGTCAGCAGTTCTCTTTATTCCTGTAGTGGTCTTCCACATTCCCCTAGTTTTATCTGCCTGTAAAACGTGGCTTAAATAAAGAAAAAGAGTTGGTTTTAATTAAGTCTGCTTCAAGGGAGACAGCGTTCTCTGGGTGTCTGGTCTAGAAAAGGCCTTCACTGAGGTGGCCCGCACTGGGAAATAACTGCTCTCCTGAGAATAGGCAGTGCCATCCTCAGACTATTTTTCATGTTTAATGAAGATTAGCAGAGCCATTGTGAGTTTTTAAGTAATGTTATACTGACTGAGAAAGCTGGTATTTTGTTTGTCACACACTACAGTTAAGTCCAAGTTTAGGTTCAGCAACAAACAGCATCACTACAACTAGCAGGGATTCAGAATCATATTATAAGTACACTTCAGTAACTCTGTGGTTTGTTGTCTTTCTGGTTTTAAAAATGCTCACTGATAGCTGCAACAACTACCAACACTGAAAGGAATAGCAGCGTATAAGAAATAACTATTCTTCACTCTGTTCTCAAACAGTTCTTGTTTATGAGTTCTAGTATCATTGTCAGAATCTCAGGGGAGCTGTGCTTGTTGAATGCTAAAAAAAAAAATCACTTGTTACAGCTGTTTTAGCTTATTGCTTTGTAAACATAAGGGGATGTTCAACTTTTATAAGCAATCAGAGCAGTGGATTCCTGTTAAGGTTAGAATATGACCGTAATAGCTTCATACTAACCATACTAACCTTCGATTCACAGAGACACTGTATGATAGATGTCAGTGGAACAACTTGTCTTGAGGTGGGACAACTCAAGATCTCCTTAACTGGCCTTTAACCCCATTTACACTTAGCCACTTCGTGTCTTGGGCAGATTATATCATTCAGATGGTAGATTGAGCAATCTAACCAGATCTTGAAAAAGGTCTAAATCCCTCCATCTCTCCAAGATGCTATGTAATCTGTACTCTTTTCAACTTTAACTACATCAGTGCGTGGTATGTGGAAGCTGAAATGAAACAGAAATACACTAAAAATAGCTGTCATTCTCTTATTGAAGTTGCTCCAGCGATTTCCAAACTTCTAGTCATACAGAAGGTACAGCTAGCTGATGTAATATTTATCTGATTCCTGATCGGCGCTGTCTGATCTGCATGTTGAGAGCATTGATCTGTATAGATGAGAAAGATATGAGTGATCAAGACTTCTGTCTTACTTGTAATTTATTCATGTATTTCATCCATGGACTGTATAAAATAGTAGATGCAGTAACCTTGATGCGCCCATTGTTTTGTGGACTGCCACTTTAAAGCCTTGAGTTTGGTGCTTTGGCTGTCGCCATCTTGATTTTTGGAGCCAGAAGTGGTAGAGCTGGGGATAAGCAAGAGGTGGATCTGACTCTTGCAGTCACTCAAAGCAGTCCTGCACTTAAATATTCGTAATCTTAAGCTTTAATAAAATGTAAACAGGTGAGTTGTATAAAACTTCAGTGCCCAAACAGTTGTCACAAATTTTGAAATCAGCTATAGAGGCCTTAACAGTTTTTGTACTCGGCTGTAAACATGTTTTTTTCTGCTGTAAAGTTGGGCATTTTTAACATGGGTGTCTACAGGGATTGACTCACTTCTGGAGCCAGCCTCAAGTGGCCTTTCAAGGGATTGCAGTTTTTTGTCACTTCAGCATTGGTTTCATTTTTCAGTCCCGTAGGTTGCTGCTTGATTTCATCTGTGTGTTTGTTTTAGAATATGAATAGACCTAGGTGCTAGCTGTTTAGCAAAACTATTATTGTATTTAAAAATGAGAATGTGAGCCGTTATTTTTTCTTTAGTATAAAATGTATTTGTTGTGATGTATTCACTAGATTTTTATGTTGAAGTCTGTGTGTACCAAATTACCCCTTGGGTTCGATGAAATTAAAGTTAAATGCATTTATCACCACCGTCTGTAATGGAGTAGGACCAAAATGTGATTTGCATGTAACATGGGAGAAACCAAGACAGATGCAATCTGATTTGTGATCTGGCTAACTCAAACAAATATGTGTGCCTAAGGGTAAACAAAAGTGTATTAAATCACATTTAAAGTGTAAATGGGGCTTTTGATCAGAGGATTGTTAGATGCTGCTACAGCCCGACTGATACTGGATTTTTGACGCCAATATCATGACTGATATTTGAGAAATTAAAATATCTGATAGAGATAGATAGATCGATTGGCCTCTAGACACCACTAATTATATCTGGCTGGTGAATAAGTCAGAGTGGCTTATGAATGTGCTCCTATGTCACCAAGACCTCAGGTAGTCATTGTCAGTATGTGTATTAGGGCTGTCAAAATTGCTCAAAAATGACGTTCGAATATTCGTTCTAAAAATAACTCATAGGTTCGAACTATTCGACTGATTCGAATTTTTTTTTTCACATTATGTCCACAAGAGGGCAAACTAATACAAAGAAACATACTTGTATATGTATTAATACAAGGAAACATAACTACTTGTAGGTATTTTTATTTCAACATAAATGTCTTTGAAAACATTTACATACCTACACATTAAAACACATAAAACAATTATCTATAACATTACGTTATAAACGACCGCGGACCTCTCGCTCGCCCCCCCTCTCTGACCCGTCAGGCCACACCGCCCACGGAAGCGCTGCGAATAGCCTCGAAGCGAAGCCAGTTTCCTTTCGGCGCCCATGTTAACCGATTGTGTCATCCACACCGGCCGCGCAGCTCCGTGGCCGCTCCCATCTCCCACTCGCAAAGAGGACAGCTGCGGTGGTGTTTTTTTTTTTTTTTCTCCACAATCGAATATCAATTTTCACATTCGAAGGTCCATTTTTTTTTTTCAAATTCGAATTTAGAATATTCGTTGACAGCCCTAATGTGTATAATAAACCAGGTAATTAATTTAAAATCAGAGATATCCAGC